CGACACCTTGAGGACAGGCTGTCTTCGCTTTTTGCATTTGTATCCTTATCACTAGAGGCAGGTAGGTGGCAAAGGGGATGGGGCACTGGGCCTGGAGTCAGGATGACCTAAGTTCAAACTCGGCCTTAGAAACTTGCTAGCTGTGTGACGCCCTGTTTGCCTCGGTTCCTCATCTGTAAAATGAGCTGGAGAAGGAAATGGCAAACCTTTCAAGTATTTCTGCCAAGAAAACCCTTAATGGGGTCATGAAGAATTGGACAAGACTGAGAAATGACTGAACAACAACAAAAATACATTCAAAGGACCTGAAAACTTCCAAAAATGAAACTATGCATGTTAACAAATGAAAGTCTCAGATAATGTTTAGGCATCTAAATTGTTAACCACCTAGCAATCAGCCAGTTACCTAATATCCACAATACAGTAAAATCACAAATACATAAATGGATTACAGACTGCCAGTCACTAAAAACCATTTGAAATGGTTAAAAAAATTGTTGTTGCATTTTCTATTTAACAAACCTCCAAAGCAGCATTAAGAAGAGAGCATATAGGGGGCAGGCAGGTGGCACAGTGGATAGAGCACTGGCCCTGGATTCAGAAGGACCTGAGTTCAAATCCAACGTCAGACACATAACACTTACTAGCTGTGTGACCCTGGGCAAGTCACTTAACCCCATTACCTAACCAAAAAAAAAAGAAGAGAGCATGAACACAGACACCCCCCCACCCCCCCCACACACAGAGTATCTGTGCAGATCTGCACTGAGACTTTTAGTAAACTGTGTGCACGTATGTCCCTATGTATATATGTATATATACACACACATACACTACGTATGTAGTTGACTTAATTTTTCTCTAATCTCCCCAAAATAATTCAACCATTCACATAAGATAGCAAACACTGAGAAGTAGTCCCTAGAATGGATCCACAGAAGCTTTAACAACCAGAAAAGACATCAACTATCAATTTAGAATAATCTTCTCACTAAAAAGGTTTTTGTGCAACTCAACTTATCAATCGATCAACTACATTAAATAAAGCATAAGACCAGATCTGCCAAAGTCAAACTATTTGGTTTACACACTGTCTATCATGAGAATGTAAACACCTTAATGGCAGACTGGTTTTGCCCCTTTATATTCAAGTACTTACAAGTTCCTGGCACAGTGTAAGCATTTAATAAATTCTTATTGACTTGACTTGATTATTATACTAAACCAAAGTTAAAGTTTAATGCTACAGTATTATAACGGCATCAGAAACCTGGGAGACTGGTAAACAGGAATATTCTAAATTTCTACTACACCTGAATCCATAATTAGTTAAAAATAAAAACATAAGCTTTAGAACATAAAGTTTTAATGACATCAGAATGTCTTTAATACAAGGAGAAAACCCATGTATTAAAGGTACCATCGTATGGAAAGTTGGATTTGGAGTCAAAGGATGTGGGTTCAAATCCTCTCTCTGCCATTTCTATGTGAGTCTGCACACCTGACATAACCTCTTTATGCTTGAGTTTCCTATCTGTAATATAAGGGATGCACAGATGGCCTCTAAAATCCTATCCAGCTTTAAATCTGATTCTATATCTTATCCCAACTTTGTACTGTCCCTAAGATCTATCACCACTAACAATAATTCGTATTAGTTAAACTGAATTTTTTAAAAAATCAGAATGTTTGCTGTGAAATGTGATAACTCAAAGGTAGATTTAAAAAACTAGAGAATTTTGTTATATTTTTAAAATACTGTACAAAAGGGAAAAGAGGTATTTCACTTTACTATTACATTTCCAGAAGAATCTTGGTTCCTGTAATAACTGTGTTTTTATACTGCCAAAACCAGCAAATTAAAATACTAACTAGTAGATTATTTTAGTTCTATTTTCCTTCAAAATTATGTTAAAGGACATCACTATGCAGGCTGGGTTAGACTTCTGCAGTCAGAAAAAGATGTATTCTCAATGTCACAGCTTATTTTTTTAAAGCCATCTATGTGGCAGTAGCTACTAAGCTGCAATCATTTGGAACGGTTTTCTCTCTGAATTAATTCTTTAGCATACAGAGTTTTAAGTCACAGTCTTCTAAAGGTTTGAGGGTTTTTTTGTCTCCTCTCTTCTACAATAATTGAAAAGTAAATACAATAAAACATTTTAAAGTGCCTACTATGTGCAAGGCAGTTAGGATACAGACAAAAATGAAACAGCCACTGCCCTTGAGGGGTTTATATTCTATTATGGCAATAGAACAGAGCTATACACAGGTAAAACTAATACAAAGTAAATTAAGGAAAGAGAACACTAACAACTGAGGGAATAAGTGAATGCTTCTTTGAAGGAAAATATGGCATCTGAGCTTTGAAAGAAGATTAGAATTCTGAATGGCAGAGAAAAGTGGGAATGTTATTTCAAGTGTGTGACAAGAACAGAGTGTTCATTAAAAAAAAAAACCCAACATTAAAAAAAGGGCTAGTAGGACGGCAGATTGTGAAATCCCTTAAATGTCAGGTTAAGAGTTTATATCTTGTCCCGAGGAAATAAGGGTGGCAACTGAAAAGTTTTGAACAAGAGAGTTGCAGGGTCACACTGGTACCTTGGGGAGATTGCTTTGGCAGTTTCCTGAAGAATGAATTGGAGAAGAGAAAGACTGAAAAGGGGGTCCCATTAGAAAGCTATTCCACTGATCTGGGTGAGAAGTGAGGAGGGTTTCAACTAGGGTGGTGACTGTGAGTGAAAAGAAGGGGACAGATGTAAGCAATGTTGTGGACAATACTTGGCTTCTGAATGGATATAAGAGGTAAGAGTCAAGGAAGAATCAAAGATGACTCCAAAATATTGGGTCTAGGAGACCACAAGGATAGTAGAAACATGGAAGTTAGAAGAAGGGGTGGGCTTAGGAGGAAATAAGATGTATGAAACACAGAGTAGGTTGTGTCTCCACAAGTACAGGGTTAGGAGTGAATGAGAAGGGTTTGTACTTTATGTCAAAAAGACCTAAGTATTTCAGTGGTCTAAAACTCAACATGAGCCTACAGTATAACATGGCAGTTAAAAAAAAAGGCTAATACAGCTTTTCAAGGCTGTTAACAGCATCAAAATATAGAAAGATAGCAACAGAAACTATCAACCAACCAACATTTATTAAGCATCTACTATGTGCCAGGCACTGTGGCTAGGCTAGGGACACAAAAGAAGCAAAGAACAGACTCTGCCCTCAAGGAGCTTTTCCAATCTAACGGGGGAGACAACATGCAAACAAATAGGTACAAATGAGCTACAGACAGAATAAATAGGAAATAATTAACAGAGGGAAAGCACTGTAATTACGAGAGGTAGGATAAGGCTTCCTGTAGAAGGTGGGATTTAAATAGGCCTTAAAGGAGGCCAGGAGGCCAGCAGTCAGAGCAAGCAGAGAGTGTTCAAGGCTAGAGATGATAATCCTGCTATATACTCTGCTCAGGTCAGATCACAGCTTGGATACTGTCATGAGCAAGCAGAACCATTTCCCATTTACTCAAGGTCTTCAAGCCACCAGAGTTAAGACCCCTTGGCCTTCACAAGTTCCACCTCTAATACATATTAGCTGTGTGACCATGGGTAAGTTACTTAACCTCTAAGTGTCCCCATGAAACTTGACAAACTATGAGTTACAGAAGATAAGATGATCTGCATTGTTGAGAAGAAAGAGCACTGACTTTGGAACCTGTGTGAGCTTGGGCAAGTCCCTTAAAGTCTGTGGGTCTAAGTGTCCTCCTTTCCGGCTCTTAAATCTATGCTCCTCTAAGTTTTCAACCAACATTTCCTATACCAATGAAATCACCTGTCTGGACCAAAATGATGATGGGTAGTGACACCCACTGTGAAGTCTGAGAACCCTGAGTCAAGATGACAGATTCAGAGCTGAAGGCCTTCTGAGGTCATTGATTCTAAATCCTCACCAAGGATATAACTCAAAGAACAGGGACCCTGCATTCAGAACTCTCTACGTACTGTGTAATCTGGGCCAAGTCATTTAAATCTCAGGGGTTTCAGTTTCTTAATCTGCATCTTCTCCTTACTGTGTGTAAACGTCTGTATGACATATAGTTATATATCTAGATATACAGCTACATACTGAATGCACAATGTGAGTTCCTTGAAGGCAGGGACCACGTTTCTGCCCCCTTTCTAGAATCCCCAGTGCTTAGTACTTTGCCTGGCACCAAGTAAACACTATTATGCCTGTTGATTGACAGCTGGGAGGGCTGGATCACTGAGGAGACCTGAGGTTCCTTCCAGCTCAGTTTAGGTTCTACTTGGACTAGACCGATCCCCCTACGGGGAAGAGACGGAGCTGGGCTCTGAACCCGGAACCCAGGCTTCTTTCCCCGGCCCCCCCAGTGAATCAGGTCTGCCCAAACACGCACTGGGCCGGGCCCATTTTCTTCTAACCTCCGTGCCCCTCACTTCTAGAAGACAGAATTCCCTAGACAGGTGGAATCCCAAGTTTGGACAATGCTCCTCCTCCCCATTATTATCTAGAAAGTCCGGAACGTCTGCATCCGAGCCCCACCTGGGGCACATCCTGGCAAATCCCACGCTCCCTGCGGGCCCCCAGGAAGCCGGGACTCTACGTGGCAGAGGTGGGGGGCTGCAGAGGCGGGAGGGCAGGGACCCCGGCGCTCAAGAAATGCTTATTGACCGAGGTGGTCCCCCACCTCCCAAAGAGGACGATGATCAGGCAAAGTCTTCGTTGAGTGGAAGGAGGCAGGGGCTAAATACATGTTTGCTGATTGATTAAAAAAAGCCCAGGGGGGCGGGGATAAATTCTTTCGGAGAGGCTCGAGCGGGGAAAGCGCTTTGCACACTTTAAAGCGCTCTAGAGATGTCAGTAACCGATACTCGGTTCTCGCTCCGCAGCCGCACCCCAGGATGCTGCCAGGCTGCGGCGGGGCCCGGTGACCGGGCCCCGGACTGCCTCCCTCCCCTCCCGCCGGCCTGGGGACCACCTACCAGCTGCTGCCGGACCCAGCGCCACATGCCGCGGCCGTGCCCGCCTCGGGCTCGCGGGGGGATGGAGGGAACGCGGCGACGGAGGCCCAGGCAAGGCCAAGGAGGGGTCGCGGGCCCAGGCCGCCCGAGGAGGACCGAGCCGAGGACGAGGAGCGCTGCGGCTGCCGCCTCAGCCGCAGGTCCGAGCTCTGCCGCGGCCACCTCTACGCCCCGCGCCCGCGGCGCTCCAGGGCTCCTGCGGCCGGCCCGAGGTGCGGCAGGCGCGGCCCCGGCCCCGCCCCCGGCCCCGCCCCCTTCCCGGAGGCCGGCCCCGTGGCCACCGCCCGCATTATGGAGCGACGGTTGTGAGGCGACGCAGGCCGAGGACCCGCCACCGGAAGTGACGTGCGCGGCGGGGATTGCGGGGGGAGGGGGCTCGCAGGAGAGCAGGAAACACCCGGGCGCACCTGGAGCTCCCGCTGCGCATCCTCCACTGCGCACCCTCCACTGCTTACCCCCTCCCCCGCCGCTGCTCAACGGACCACGGGCTGGTTGGGGTGGGTGGTCCGAGAGCTAAAAAGGGCCGCACCGTCCGAGGCCATCTTGGCCAACATTCTACCCCCGCCTCCATTTTATGTAAGGAAACTGAGGCCCAGGGCAGTCAGATGACCAGGATCATAAAATCAGAGCCGAAAGGGACGTCACAGGCCAGCTAGTCCAACTGTCGTTTTACAAAGGAGGAAACTGAGGCCGAGAGATGACTAAATGACTTGGCCAAGGTCACACGGGTCACTCCGTGACAGGTGAGATTTGAACCCAGGTCCTGTGGCCAAATCCACTTAAGCCGCTGTACTAGCCAGTGTAAAGGAGATTCAGTCTGGGGTGCTAGAAGGTGTTGGATTTATGTGGTCATGAATGTCTTCCTTTTTATGTGCTTATTTATTTAATTGTATCCCCAGTGCTTAACACAGTGCCAGGCGAGTGGTCCTCGATTAATAAATTTGGATTGAATTGAATTGGTGGAATGAGGAGAGGCAGCCTGCAATAGTGGCAAGAGGGGCAGAATCAGGGAAATGGAACTTCAAAACCAGCTCTGCACCTTGCTCCCTGGAAAACCTTGAACAAATCCCTTGTCCTCTCTGGTGATGTAGTTGAGGGATGCTGGGACCCCAGAATCACAATCTATGGGTTTTTCTGGTCAAAAGAATTCAACCTAAGCCTCTCAGCCAAAGACAAGGGTTATTAGAACATCCATCATGTTGGGCAGACTCTTAAGGAGTCTGAACATTAGTAAGCTATTGGCTAGATTATAAGAATCCCAGCGGTGGCTAGATTGTAAGAATCCCAGCCGTGGCTAGATTGTAAGAATCCCAGCTGTGGCTAGATTATAAGAATCTCAGCATCTTAATGGAGACAAGATGGACCTTATATACAGAAAGCCTGTGGGAGAGACCTAGGAGTGGCCAGTAAACTGGGGTGAACAGAACTCCTAGGACCTGGACCTCATGGCCAAGGGAGAATGGAACCTAGCTAGAATTAAGGGTGGGAAATGGCCAGGGACCACCATACATAGGGAGGTAAAACAGAGGAAGGGAGATTGAAAGGCCAGTTGTTGGGATTATGGCCTCAGGCAAATGCCAGAGATTTGGCCAAGTGGGAAAGTACAGGGTTTTTCCTTTCTGGGGTCTAGATCCCAACCCCATCATCTGGGACTCAGTGTCCTCACCTGTAAAATGAGGGCATTGAAGGAGCAGATCCCTGAGGACCCTTCCAGCTCCAGGTTCTTGATCCTGTGAAGGACGAGTGTCTGACACGGGTCATCCAGCCTTGCTTGGTGATGTCAGTGAGAGGGAACTCACTCCATCCCATGGCAGCCCAGGCCCCCTGGGGAGAGCTCCTCCTTTTTTCTTCTTCCTCCTCCTAACTTTTTTTTTGTGTGCTTATTCTGGTACTGAATAGAAGACCTTGGTCCCATATAACTTTTTGTGCCTTTATTATGTACATTTGTTAAAAACAACAACAAAACCCCTGGGTTTGGGGTCATCTTTTGTCTCCTTATAGTGAAATAAAACTTGTTATTTGCCAGCAATTGCCACACGTCCATCAATTTGAAAGGTCTGAAATGTCTTTAGTTATGTCAAGAAGGAGTAAATTACCTTTTAAAATTCATTTTAGAATAGTACCCATTGTAAATTGTCTGGGTTTTTTAATCTTGAACACAGTCTTTTGTTCTATACTACCCTAAAGGTTGTCAGCTTATCAAGTAAACTTAGAACCATGGGACACGGAATATGCCCTTCCCAATGGCCTTTAATTCTGGGCACCAAACTTCAGGAGAAAGAGGACAGTTGATTTTATATGCCACGATAGAATGTCATAAGAAATGAACTCATGATGAATATATGAAGATCTTAGCCTAAAGCTCCTGAAAGTTTCTGGAGGACCTACCAGCAAATTGATTGCCCTACTTATTTGCCTTCCAGGTGTTTTTCAAGAGCAGTGGCCCATACAGCATATTACTGTGATTTAGTCAAAGGTCCCGGGGAGATTTGCATCAGACAGGATTTAACACAGCACTAGTTGGAGAAAGAAAGGGGGAAAAATAATTGGTGCCAATTGATGGAGCCATTCACCCTTGCAACAAATCTCAATTGAGATTTACTGTGTATGTAGCACTTGGAGAAATATAAAAGCGAAGAAAGACATAGTCACTGCCCTCTAGAAATCTTTGTTCAGGGGGCAGCTAGCTGGTACGGTGAATAGAGCTCAGCCTTGGAGTTCAAAGGTGGCCTCAGACACTTGATACTTACTAGCTGTGTGACCCTGGGCAAGTCACTTAACCCCAATTGCCTCACCAAAAAGCAAAAAAAAAAAAAAGAAATCTTCGATCTGGTTATAGAGGCAGGAGACACACATATTAAAGAGTTAAGTAACAATGCAATGAATAAATGATAGAGAGACAGAAGGGGTTTCAGTTCAGCAAAGGGGACATCCTGACTGGTGGCCCTAGAATTTCAGGATCTCACAATTGGAAGAGACCTTGAAGGGCATCTGGTCCAACAGGTACCTCAAAAGAAATCCACCCTACCTCACACCTTGAAAGAGGACATCAATAAGCATTTATTAAGCACCTACTACATACCAGGCACCGTACTAGGTCCTGGGGATAAAAAGGCAAAAGTTAAACATACTCTCTAGGAGCTTACTTACATTCTAATGAGGCAATAACAGATTGGGGTGACAGGTGCATCACACGCCCATATAGTATAATCATTGTATCCAGGAACATATACAAAATGCTCTGTTTGGTATTCAAAGCCTTTGTGACCTATCCCCCTCCTCCCTTTCCAGTCTTCTTACACCTTACTGCCCATCATGTACTTTTCCATCCAGGGACACTGGCCTCCTGGCTGTTCCAAGACCAAGGCACTCCATCTTTCTAGGCATCCTCTCTTGTTATCCCCCATACTTGGAATGCTTTCCCTCCTGATCCTCACCTCCTGGTTTCCTTGGCTTCCTTTGAGTTCCAACTAAAATCCCACCTTCTACGGGAAGACTTCCCCAACCCCTCCTTCTCATATTTACTTTTTATTTATCCTGTAAACAGCCTTTTTGTACACATGTTTGCTTGTTGTCTTTCCTTTTTAGTTGTGAGTTCCTTAAGGGCAGGGACTGACTTTTGCCTTCTTTTGTATCCTCAGCTCTTAGCACTGTGCTTGGCATAGAGTACATGCCTTATGAATACTTATGGACTGACTGAAGTACATACAGAATAAATATAAAAGGAATAAATACAAATAATGCTCCAAGATGTAGGTGCTTAATAAATGCATAACTCATCGTAGGTAGTATGCTGCACCATATTTGTTCCTATCATGCATCTTTGTTCCCGTTGTCCTCTGGCACATTCATAATTTTGATTTTTCCTTGATCCTGATGTTCTATAATTTGTGGCTGTCACTACAAGAATATTATTATTGTTACAGAGGCAGCCTTTTGCCAAAGCAAACAATTTGGTACCCTTGGTATGAATTTAAAATCAGAGAACCTGAATTAAACCAAAGCTCTGCCACTTACTAAATTTATGACCTCAGACAAGCAACTCAGCCTCACTGGGCCACAATTTCTAGCTCTGTGAAATGAAAAGGTTGGACTGGATGACCTCTGAGTGTCCTTCCATCTCTCAATCAATGATCTGAGATCCTGGAGTGCTAGGCTGCTTCCCTAATGCAATGCAAGACATTCTCAATTCTGGTTCCAGCTCACCGTCCATTTTCAGCATCTGTCCAGTATACACATGTTAATGGATGAATTTGATTGGCTGCGTCTAGGTGTATCAGTCTGGACAGTATATCTTTTTCATCCGCTTTGTTTTTGCAGTGTAGATGATTACACCAACCACTTCCGAGATGTTGTTGCTCACATTGAGGAAACTTTGAAGTGTTCTAGGGCGATCAGTACAATGGCATCTACAACAGGAGCACCTACTAATCTGAACAACCTTGTCAACAGAGAACCATTTTAGTTGCACCTGACAGAAGACCTCTTCCCTATCAGACATCTGAAATGGACATGTGTTGTTTGATGCCATGTGATCATGGATCACAGCTTATGGATGTAGAGATGGAGAGGATCTCAGAGCTCATTGAGTCCAACTCCCTCAAGGCCCAGAAACGTTAAATAAACTCACTCAAGCTGGCATAGGTTTTGCAAACAGTAAGCTTGTATGCCTCCCAAAAAGAGTGAAAGACAGGCTCGTGACAATGGAAATGCCACTCGCAGGAAAGTGCCATGCCACCATCATCAGTGTGTATGCTCCCACCATGATGAGCCCTGATGAAGTCAAAGAAAAATTTTATGAAAACCTGGAGACCCTCATTATCAAAGTGCTGAAAGAGGACAAGCTTGTAATTCTGGGTGCCTTGAATGCCGGAGTAGGCACAGACTATCAAACATGGCAGGGAGTCTTTGGGAGGAATGGAGTCAGAAACAGCAGCAGCAACAGTCACTTACTACTGAAGACTTGTGCAACTCATGACTTTCTCATCACCAATACTGCCTTCTATTTACCTAAACACAATAAAACTTCTTGGATGCACCCTTGCAGCAAACATTGGCATTTAATAGACTATGTCATTGTAAGGAGAAGAGACAGCATGTGAGAGTGACCAAGACAATGTGTGGCACAGACTGCTGGTCTGATCATAGACATCCTCTGTAAGGTAAACACTGGCATTCAACAAAAGTGGTGGCCCTGAGGCAAGACGACTAGGAGAAGATTTACCGTCAGCAGATTAGAGCACTTTTCCATGTGCAAACAGTCAGTTGCTAACTTAAGAAGGAAAGCTGAGCTAACGCAGGATTGACAGCAGTGGAGCAGAAAAGGAGTGGGTAGCTTTCAGAGCGCTGGTGTACAGCACCTCATTTACTCATCTGGGCCAGAACACTCATCAACATCAGGACTGGTTTGAAGAAAATGATGGGGAAATTCAGAAGATGCTAAGTGAAAAAATGAGAGCTCCACACAGGGTTTACCAACAGGATAATTTGTTTGTCTCTAAGAAGACAGCATTTAACTACAACAAAGGTAAGGTACCATTGGAGCTTAGAGATCCTTGGCTCAGTAAGATGGCAGATAGAATTCAGTTTTATGCTGATAGTTACAATCCAAAGTGCTTTTCTGATGCCCTGAAAGCTATTTATGGACAAGAGATCTGTGGTGCATCTCAGCTATTCAGCGATGATGGAATCACATTGATTACAGATAAGGACATGATCTGAGAGAGATGGCCTGAACACTTCT